CTGAAAAGCGTAGCAAAATACAAATACAATTCAGGCAATTACACTCTAGGGGTACTCCAGATGTCGCAGATTGGGATATTCTTGTATTCTATTACTCAAAATCTTACGCTGTGACAAAAACGCTTCGAAACAGAATCTTGTACTGCTAACTTTGAAACGCGTTTTTGATAAGTTTTACTGTAGGACTTTGAAACAACTTTTCAACATTTCTATTTAGCTTCATTGAGAGTATGAAAAGATAGTGTTCTGAACGTTTATTTGAAAGATAAGAATATTATGAAACGTATCCAAAGGAGAGCTAGGGGGCTCACAAGGAAACCACTTAAATGGCTCCATAAATCACTGAATCTTTAATCTTTAGAGTGTGACGAGAGCACATGAGTAACTTATAGAGTCAGAAGCACTATTTGGAATCCTTCACAAAACTTGCTTAAGCTAACTTCCGAAACAAACCAAAAAATTAGAGGTCTAGCACAGCAAACTAGACCGTGTGAACGCCTACACTTAAAGAGCAATCAAGCGCTAGAGTTCACTACTGGATGAAGTGGTCTAAACAAATTCTCGGGAGTCTCGCAGGAAGAATCTTGGTATATTTCTTAGAAGTTGTCATGTTATTTTATGCTTTTATATCTCACGTTCAAAACTTTCGTCCTGCCTATTTCGTTTTTAAATGTTAGCACATATTACGTTTTAATCTACTACAGAAAATGCACAGCAGAAGCATCGACAACAATAATTACACTATAACTACAAGGACGACAATTAGCGGCAGAGATTTGATTAGAAGACTAGTAATGAGTCGAAACTTTCTGCCCATAACAACCACAGTACAAGAAAGGTGAAGACACATAATGAGCATCTCAGCAATGTGTACAACACGAATCACCCAACTCAAACACAAACATTGAGCTTTCATATAGGTAACCAGGATCATACTCCCACCGAAGATCCCACACCTAGGAAGACGAGGAGAAATAGGACAAAAGGGTATGACAAAGTGCCCGTAACGCATCCTGCCGAAGAGAAGCAACACAAGAATGGTATTTGTATGACATTCTCGTCGCCAGGTAGATTCGGGGATCCAGAATTAAAATTTTATTTCTGTGGTGGCTCGGTTCAGCGCCGCTCTGATGCTACACTACCTGGGTAATACAGTGGGTTCCTGTTAAGTCGAACCCTTTATGATTTTGATACATTCGCCCAAAGTGTAGAAGAAATGTATCGGAATGCATCAAAAATAACCCCGGCAATCTTCACCAACATAACTAGTATGTCCAACACAGGACAACCAAACTCGCGATTGTGGTAGGCGCAACACCAGGTCACACACCAATAAAATACCGATAATTGTATATAACCCATTATTTGTTAACAGTAGAAGCAGCGCGCGGGGGTTGAGAAGGGAAATAGCAATGGTATAGATCTCAAAACGCTAAAAATCGGGGGGCGAAGACTGTCGGGGAGTAGCTTACCAGGTTGTGGGGCAATATTCAATAATGGACAGTAGAACGAATACTGTACAATGTCTATGATTGGTACCATCCCAGTTATACTTGGCCACCTCTATAAGGCCAAAAATTTAGTGAAAGGTAAATCTCTCCAATGAAGAGTAACTTTTGCTTCAGTAAATTTTACAGAAAAATCTTGCTGACATCTCAGAACCATCAATTACACGTTTCTTATAAACGCAAGTTAAATACAACAAACCATGGAGCCTAAGAAATGATCAGAATATGGTGGCCAACGAGTACCTGGGCTAGAAATCGACAGTCCGGTTGAAGTTCAGAACACATGGTGATTTGTGGTAGTATTGGTCCACAAGCTGAACATTAAATAATTGAGAGACTACACATTCAACATTTAACACGGAGAGCAGGACAACATTAGTGAACGCTGATGACATGACTTAGCCTCGCAGACGCGTTTATTCCGTACAACCTGTTTTTATTCGCTTCAAATATATTATTCTATCTTAAGCTTAAATGTGCTCTTCAGAAGTACCAAGTATCATTTTGCCAATTGTCACGATACCATAATATAGTGTAGAAGAAGATGTGGTTTATATGTAAAATCTTATAGATTAGGTAGTCACATCGTTATAGATCTACGATTTTGGGATTAAGTCTATTATTAGAGCAGTACTAATAATGAACTTGGACCATAATTTTACAGATTCACACATAGACGATGGTTAGAATGCCCAGGCCTCCTCGTCTGTCACACCTCGAAAACAGTAAATCACGTTGTCCGCTGTCTACGAGCTTCAAAAACGAAGAGGACATGACTGAGGCTCTTCACCGTCTGGTAAGGCTCTGTTAATCATTTCTCTAATCCTATCAGATCTACTTAAAATACCAGTCGTCAACTGCTCTTCAGAGGAGCATCTGGTGGTGAGAAATACTTCAAAGTGCATTTGTATGAACGCAGTTAAACCAATAGGTAAAGTAGGAGAGATCAAAAACATAAGTTCCCGGTTAAGGCTGGAGATCATAGTCCTAACTGAAATATGGCTAGTTCGCGACATTAAGGATGACGAAGTAGTCTTGCGAGGCATAACACATTTCAGATGCGATAGGGTACACAAAACAGTAGGTCGCGATAAATATGAACAGTGGCTTAAAACCCGCAACACCACATCCTACCGAGTTCACTGAGTGACAGAATCATGCTGGTGTTATTTTCATGTGAAAGGCGAAAAGTACTTGATTGAAGTAATGTACCGGTTCCCAACACTGGTTCTAACACAAAAAAGATGAGATAATACAGGCTGTAATATGGTTAGCATACACAGGGGCTAGTTAAATACTACCAGCTCGAGACTTCAACACTACATACCTAAGTCTCATAGGGCTGAATACAATCCCTACAGGGTGATTCTGTAAGTGACTGCCCAAGGCCACCAAAAGTTCAGAACTGGCTGGACATTTGGGTGATGCCATGAGATGTGGCCAAAATGGAAAACCACTAAACTTAGATTATTTGGTAATAAGTCACTAGTTTGTAGTGGGAGTGACGACGGTACAATCACGATTCATGTGGTTACGAAAGAGATGCTCCAGAGAAACGAAGATGCTCCCTCCATATCTTAGCACACTACACCACTATGGGGCTGCGTCTTTAACTCTCTTCATGATCACTAGAATGGTGTCGGCAAACAGTGTATGACTGCTGGAAGATAGCGTAGAATATGGTTCAGAATGCTATTTTACACAATGTACCTCAGACAAAACACACACCTGGAGAGTGATTCTGGGTTGAACGAAACACAGGACGTTTGCTTCGGGACCAAAGGAGAGCTTAGCACAAGTGGCAAGTCTCTCTGAAAGATTCGAATGTAATGAAAGTTCTGATAAACGAAAGGACGAGAAAACACATGGATTGAAACAGCATTCCTCATGAAGCCCGACACAGGTGTAAGAAAGACAAGTTACGTGCACACAATCTCCCCAAAGTATAAGGCAGCTGAATAACCTGCTAGGGTTCAAAAAACCTGTTCATGTAGTATTCCTGGACTTTGCAAATCCCCATGACACAATATGAAACCTACTCTTCATGGGGGAGGGTACAAAGACAGGTTTCATTGACCCAGTTTTACCTTGACTCCAAAATCATATAGGGAACAGGATGTATCATATCAAGATAAATAGAATGCGTGCAAGCTGAAGAGTCTCGAACATCAGGAGTTTCACCGAGGACCATCACAGGTCCACTTCTATTCTCGATCTTTATTGATGACATTCTAGATAAAACTAATTGAGTGACACAGGCCTGTGAAGATGACGCGAGGATTTGGAAGTCCATAAGATGCTAAAACGATTCACTTGAGCTTCAAAAGGACCTTATAACAATAACGAAATGGGTGATAGGCTATTACTTAAAACTTCACCTGTTGAAATGTTATGTCATAGAGATTCTGCCACAAGGACACAGACAAATAACGTTCTCTATGAAAATCCACTCACGACTGCCAAGTTAGAACGCGATAGTGGGCTAGTAACCACGGAAAGTTTAAAAGACGTCTCAAACTACGTAAAAATACAGCAAAAGTAAACATAACTATACGAATTTGCAAAGAAAAATTGCTGCAGTCACCTCAACATTGTCACTAGCACTGTTTAGAACACTTACAGCCTCATTTTGAATTCCACAATGTCGTCGCGCCCCCTTCTTTTATAAGACATAAACTTTTCAAACCAAATACATAGGCAATAAATTGGTTGATAGGCCTAAAACATAAATCTTACGGGGATATACTACCACACCTGGGATCATTGTCGCCAAGCAGGGGATTTGATAATGGTATACAACATATTAGTTACCCACAACTACCCTGTCGAGAGCGTATTGCATCATCACCAGGCTCCTTGAGGTAACCCTGGAAAGACTGCGCATCTAAGAGTAAACAATCATGAAGGCTCTCACTTTTTCTTACTGAGAGTTTCCTCCATTTGAGAAGCCCTCCTAGCCAGAGTGACCATACCCCTCTCAGTACACATCTTCAAGTGGATACCTGACAAACTCACAGTCATTTACGAACTACCACCTCCCACTTGAACTAGGTGTGCCTGATTTATATCTCATAAGCTACCTGCTGCTACATGTATCCAGTGTCAGTAATTAATTTCCGTCTCGTTTATTATCACCCCACTCTCCGCTTTCATTTCTGCGATTCTGCCTTGTCATACTACCTGTATTACCCACTAATTAACTTACTTATTTCTTTCCTGAAACAATCGTCTTCTCGTATCACTTAAACTTTCATTTCATTATTTTTGACAATGCAAACAACCAACCTCCTGGTTGATAATTTGATAGTTCCTGATATATAGAAACCCTACTTTTTTGAAACAGACTCACCCACTCGAATTACAAGATATAAAATTTCACAAATATATATGAAACTGACTAGAGTTGGTGCAATGGAATAATCAGATTATCACTAGTTGGATATTACCGAATACGCGGAAGCAAACAGATACCGTAAGAATCAAATGCGAAAGTTTGTGACCTTGGAAGCGCAGTAAGCGAAAGCTTCTTTTATTCCGTTTACAGGTATTTGACCGTTCTAGTAATAACCGCTACTTCAAAATGCTTCGTAACAGTCGGTAATTGACCGAAAATGAGTCACAGTACTAAGAAGTTTGAGAAGGCTTACGGTCAAAGGCAAAGGCCCAGTTAAATAATTATTTAACTGTACATTAATGTACACTGTTTGGCTGATATCCAAGATGTGATTCGCTGATGCTCTTACTTACTTAGGAGTTTCCCATACAACAGTAGCACAGTATGCAATCTATCAAATCTGAAAAACTTCACTTGATCGTACAGGTGATTTACTCGGCTGCTAACACATTGCCTACACGCCTAAATTCGAACGTTGATGGTGACGTATCTAATTATATCGAACTACTTCATTAACATCTACAAAGTGAAGAAACCTACTTGGCAATCGGCGAGGTAACACTGTCGAACAACCAAAATTTGGGATATTAGACGTGGCTAGTTCCAGCCTGCATCTCGGCCACATCCATATCAGTGTTTAGTGGCAAGGTGTTTTCGTCCGTCGAACTGTTTATACGTTAAACATCCATCAGTGTTATAATACTGATAGGCGCATTATAGCATTTCATAGCTTTATAAGTTTATTAAATGGGTCTGTTCGAACTATTTAACTTAGCAACACACTCAGTGTCTGAGCTCTTAATTATATCAAATATAACCTGGTCAAGCGCATTATGGTTGTCATTAGTCAGTTCATCAGTTGCTCATGACCACGTAGGTTATATTCATGGATATGCAACTGGTTGCAATTGTATTGATGATTTTTATGTCCCACCTATGTTACTTGATAGTCTTATCATACATGTCTGATATTTTATCCCACTTAGTTCGCAGAACTCCTTAGAGCTGTATTGCTGACATTGTACGCTTCCTTATTTGAATCCCAGTTAGTTGATTTTTTCGTTCGCTCGCATACAAAATGTCATCGTTGCATTTCAGATCGAATGCACATGGCATATCATATGGTAGTTGAAATAGGTATCTTATTTTAGAGTTTTAAAGGGTTTTACTTCATTGATAACCTTACCTCATTCTCGTCTAACAATTGGGTAGTGTTATTTCAAAGTTTTCCATATTTTCTCTATCATGACGCGCTGTCAATTGCGCTGCTAGCTTGATAACCCTTGCATTGTTGCTTATGTTGCGTTACATTAACCATGCTTACCAAACTGGTGTAGAAGTTCTCTATTAAGAATAATTAGCATAATTAAAAACTGGTTTCCATTTATTAAGAAGAAAGTGAATGAATAGGTTAGTCCGTTACTAACTGAGTTATCTTAATTCTTCTCTAGCATTATAACTTGCCCGTTTATTATACTCCCAACATCTTTCTGTCACATAAATACAGATAGTTTTGACAATTTGTATTTCTTTTATCTCAGTCCCATTCAATGAATGCACTAGTCTTTTATTAACATAGCGAGAGCTAGTCCTTACAGATCAAGTATTCTGATACGAATTATAAATCCCCAAAAAAATTCATCAAATAATGACTGCAGCCAACTAACCGAACTCACTACACTTGAAGCTGTTACAACTGTAAACATCTTGTCACTGACTATACTCGAGATAAAGACTATCAAGCCATATAGATTCCAAGCTTCCACGCTTGTTGACTGGTAATGGTGAACTAGTGGCTCTTGAAGATCTGTCTCAGAGCAACACGTTTTTACACTTGGAATGGCAGGATTCTTGTCCCCATTTTTCAGGGACCTACTTAGAAACTGGTAAATGTTGGCACGACTAACGTCGTCAAGGTTACCCACTGTGATCTTCAACATTGTTCCTCGTAGAGTAGATCAACTAAAAGCTGAGTTTTGCAGAGAATTGTGTTGGTGTGCTTACCAGCTATTAGTTCAGATGATTTGAAACGGGGACCATTGGATACTGTTTGTAGGATTCAAGCTTGATATTATGCACTTGTGGATGCTCTTGCAGTTAAAAGATTTTGATCTGAACATAATGTATACACAAAAATCTAACTAATTTATTAAAGCGAATGTAAATGTAATCAGTAAATTATGCTTCTATCGTTTATTATATTGCATTAACTTTTCGTAGCAGTCCACTTCTAGAAAATTACGAAAATCAATTTGGAATACTAGTGTCTCTGTTTTCCTTAATGCAACTTTATCTTACTGCCTTATTTAATGACTAGGATTTTGGAGGTATATGTATTCTAGTTTCAAAATGTGATGAAATTCAAACATTATGATTGGTTCAATGGAGTTTGACAAAACCTTAGCTTACAACAAGAGTTTGGATCCAGTTATGTATGAAAGCAAGTAGATGAATTTTCTTTATGTAAAATATCACAAACATTACATATTTCATCCTTACTTAAAGCCTTATGATGGAATACCTTGTCGACGTTTCGGATAAATTCGAATAATCATGAACTACGGTTTGTTTTTCACTCACTACGATAAGTTAAATAAACTAGTATTTCGAAAAATACTTAATTTTTGACCGCACATATATCTTCAGAAACCCCATATCCCTACTCATTGTATCGTCTCCCCATTTTAGTTGTATTTCTTTGTGCTATAATCTCAATTGGTGGGACCGCTTTGCGTTCATTTTACTTTGCTGTATCTGTTTATACTTTGCCGAGTATAAATGAGTTATAAAATACGTTATCCAGAAACTAAATGAATAAAATTTCTACTTTTACCATTTCCCGTTTTTTATAGAAACTATTTCATCTCGTTGCCATAAGATCTCTGCCGTAGAGTTGTGAGAATGCTAATAAGGGTTACTCATGAAGATAAATTAATAGTGGTAATAAGAAGAGAGAAGTACCAAGTGACACTTCTCATTTCTTTACTATCACTCATTGCGGCAAGCAATTATGGCAGATTTTTAGTGGATATTATTGATATATTGGGAACCCAATACGTGTTGGATACACGCATTGTCATATAAAAAAATCGTTTTTCTTCATCTCACATTATTCACTATGTGGGACTGGTTTGTGTTTCGTTTAGCGAACAAACGACCATGCCTTTAATATTCCATATAAAATTTCAAATTTGCTTGCTGTAATAGTTGCAATTAATTTTGTTCTGAAAAGTCCCTGTTTGTGATGTGTTGGTTGGACTATTGATGAAGGTAATGGTTCAATTGTAAACTGGAATCTTATTTGGAACATTCCAAGGGACACTTCGACTGATGTAATCCAATGCTTCTGTCACGCATGATCTGGCTAAAATACGATTAGGACATTAAAGTTTCTTCACTAACGTTTATAAAATTATTTGAGGCCGTAAAAGACCTGAAACAGTGAAGTGGCATAACTTGGGGTATGGATTTTATGATTCAAATATAGCCATCAGAAATAACTAGGTTGACTAGCTAAGGTATCTGTTGTGGTACGGCACTTCAGAATAATTCTTACGGATTATTTTCGATTATTGTTCTTCATAATGAAGATGATTCGTCCTCCAGTGAGCACAAAATCAATTTGATTGAAGGCCGTGCAGAACCGAAGGTCTGTGATGGCAAGTTTATGAAAGCAAGAAAGTTTCAGGCATTACTAACGATTCATCGATCGTATTTTTCTTGATTCTAAAACAAAAAACAGTAGTAAGTTTAGTAAATTATTTTTAATCAGGTTGACTCATTCATCAGGTAATTAAGTATGATCCACATTTGGAGTGTGAGTGTTAATAATACTACTAGGTTGCCAAGACCAAAGTAGACAGAGCAGAATTTGAACATAGGACTGAGAATTAAACGCTTTAACCACTAAGCCGCCGTTTGCAGACTTTACAAATTTCCCATTCCATCTGACTGCATGCTAGTGTTTAGCACATAAATTCGGAAGTAAATATACTATATGTCTAACGACACTGTATTCTTATTCATATAATTCTCAATAGTATGTGGTGTTGATAACTGAAGTAATTATAGGGTGTTATATCTACCAACAGTGTTAACCACCATTGGTCAACAATTTAACAGGCACAGACTTAACTTTATTCAACTTTCCGAGTTAGGCTTCTGCCTTGGGTGTTCTCTGGCCGACCCAAAGCACACAAACGACGCAATAAATCTCATTGAAGGCATAGAAAGGACATGAAGGATTCCAAAAAACAGTTAAAACCTAAGGATCTTTGGGATTTGTTTTTCTAATTCCGCGTGTATAATATGACATTTATACATCTAGGGTATTAGATCGTACGTACCTCTTGATTACTGTTTGTAAATAGCCGAGCTATGCAACCTTCAATACAATGACCAGGTTTTAAATAGCTGTTACATGTAGTGAGTCGTTTCGCGAGGCTTTAAACCTCTGTTGAGTTTCCCTAACAATACGTAATAAGTTATCGTCCACCTTGAGTCAATATGTTAATTATAGTCGACGTGATTGTGAGAAAGCTGAACATAACTAAGTTAATTCATGGTCTTGGTCGTTACGACTACTCACTGTTGGATAAAAGTGTAAATATTGTGTATAAATTCTGTGTTTTCCAACAGCTAAAATAACCAATGGCTTACAGATTTTAATGGAAGCATCAACTAAATTCTTATCCGTCGGATGTTAAGGCGTAGACGTGTTTTACTGTAGCTATCTTATTAATGTGATGCATATTCATCGTCGCCGCATATAATAAGAATTAAAAATGGTAAGTGTAATATATTGAGATGAGCTGTCCGTGTAGACGAAATGTATGTAGAAGTGATATTAGTTAATCGCTCCTAAGGTTAGATAATTCGTTTATTGTTAACATAATCTTGAACAAAAACAAATCTAACGACAGTTATTCTACTTTCCTTTTTGCTTCATTCATGAGATGCTATCAAGTATTTGTTCTTAAGTGCCTTATTCTCTTCTTTCGAATCAAACTCGTTCATTCTTTCGCTTTCGTTGAGTTTATAATGCATATTAACCTCCACAAAATTTGGTGAACATGTTTGACAGACAGGACCACTGTTAACATGTATTTCAATGTTTGCATAGTTATTAACTTCCCAGGTAAAATTTTTAATCAATGCAACTAAGCGTCCCTTAATCATTCCTTGGCATAATGTATTTTCTTTATTGTAAACACATATAATAAGTATCATTACAGTAGACGTTTCTTTATCCTTTGACTTTCAGCTAACACATCAGATTGGATAAGGTGAATTCTAGTCATCTGTCTGTAGTCATCACATATTCAATGAAATACTCGATTGACTTTATTCGTATTGGGTGGACAAGGCGTATTTCAGATCACTACTTTAGTTCTGCATGTACGATATCATTACTAAGAGGACCTAAATTGATTCTTGTTGACCCTGGTAGTCCATGGGATTCGCAATGGCTTCTTTCTCAGCTCACATCTCGTGGAATAAATCCTTATGATATTAATTTTGTTGTTTGTACACATGATCACGTCGATCATATTGGAAGCTTACATATATTTCCAAACTCTACTCGGATTGTGGGCGAGAATTTCGAAGTTCAAGGTCTTAAAGATTGCTTCAGTATTCTCAAAACGCCTTATGAGATCGACCCCTTGATTCACATAATATCTACACCTGGGCACACTTTGTCAGACATATCAGTCATTGTGGAGGATATTGATCAATTCGGTCGTGTTGCTATTGTGGGTGACTTGTTTGAATGTGAGCAAGATACTATTGATCCATCTTTGTGGCATTCATCTAGTAACAATGTAAGCATTCAACAAAAAAACCGAGAATTCATTATCGATAACTTTGACTACATTGTTCCAGGTCATGGACCAGCCTTTAAAGCTACTAAAAGGTGGCAAAACTAACTTCGTATGCATCTTTACCCCGTTCATTGTAATCCACTCGACATTCGTTACACTTTTGTTGTCTGTCCTGAAATTCTATGGAATAATCATTTGTCTAAGTTATTATAAGTCGCAAAACCCTTTGATTTTCCCATTATATTTCCGAGAATTTCATTTAGTTATGGTACCATAAAATAAAGTTATTATAAGTCAAGATATAGTAAATACTTTTATTGTATATAACCATTTGGTGCTTTTCGTACTCCAGGATTTTAGCATGGATTAGCTGGTCTAGTTCGGTTCTTTATACGACTAGGGAGGATCTCTGTATTGTTTGTCGTATTTCTATTTATTGGTGCTCATCGAGAGGACTTTTCTGCAAACTCGAATGAACATTTGTACTCACAGACTCAGGCCGATAGCTCGCATTGCCTCCGTTATATATTTTTATTTGATTGAGGTTGAATAAACCGTAAGTATTTAAATCTCACAGTGCGTTTAAACGAGAATGATAAAGGCAGCAGAACCATGTTTGTATCTGTAAAAAAACTTCACAATATTAAGATTTCGGTCTAGTTTCTATTATTGAGAATTAAGAACTTGATAAGTCACGTGTTACTTGACCAACAAATGTTTTGACAGTCCTCTCATCATATTGACAGAAACTTTGAGGGAAGTCGAACCTCAGACTGTCGAATAACTAGAAGTAATACTGGTGATAGTGACTGACTTAAAAATGTACCAACATTGGGAATACAGGTGTACATACGTAGTTTGCCTCGCAATAGAGCGGGAGTGGTTCATGATTGTTACACGACTGAAGGTAGTAGATGTGAATGCTTACTGTATCCTCCATTCCTATACATATATCTCACCTATCAAGGTATATACTCTTATAGACGTATGGGATTGAATACATGCTATCCCTATTATCTTTAGAGTAACAATGTCACTTTATTGATACAGATGCTTAAGCGTTACTACCAGGTGTCTAAGATATACTTTTATTGATATTATTTATATGTAGGAAGTTTTTTGATTACTAGATTTATTTATTTTGTGGACCGATCTATGTTTTACAGGGAGTATTATTTAGACCTACGGTATTAAATACTAAGCACAAGTATTTTACATACGTGACTAATTTATTATTCTTTATCGTGTTTCAAAGTGGTTTATAAATGAGCTTAAACCGCTCAGTTCAAGACATTCTTCATAGTATTTCTTCAAATATTACACAAAACCAATATATCCTTGTTCCACAGGTTTTTAAATCATGAGTCAGTTGAAGCTAGACCACCATTGAAAACCTGGAAGCAATGGTGGTCTAGCTTCAACTGACTCATGATTTAAAAACCTGTGAAATTTCGTAAATTCTCCACAAAACCCATTCTGATAATATCCTTGTTCACTTATTTGGATTTAGTTTACCTCACATTTGGAATTCAAAAAGAGGTACTTGTTTAGTGTTTTGGAACTTCCCAATAATTTACCTAATCAAGTTTGAGTCAAAGTCTTCAGTGTGATAGATTGCCTTTTGAAGTTAATTTTCTGTTCTCTGCAATGTGTAGCCCTGACTTCAAATGTACGATTGTACACTACCTGACAAGTCTCATAAATTTCTGAAATCATTATTGAAGGTTGTGACTTGTTTACTAGTTCGCAATGAATAAACATATCTTAATTCTGGAATTAAGAGATTTTAGTATTCTAACAGTTTTATTGTGCGGTAGCGATTTACTATAAATGAATTTCCAGATCCATATCAACTTTATCTGGACGAGTTTAACCTTAGCAGTAAAAATCCATAGTATAATTTCAGTTCTATAAGGGTTGTTTTGAATCCTTAGGTTTCTTTTGATGTTTTGAAGTTGGAAACCAATAGTAGTGTATCAATTAATAAGGGAGGATATAAAACTCAGCTTAGTACACATACTACTTTTATTACAACTCACTTAGTAGAAGAACCTCTTTGTATGCTCACTCGACTTTCACGTTTTGTTCTTAGTCCATTTTGAGAATTACTGGGGACGTTTGCAGAGGAACTTGAATGTTGTTTTTGTGGTTGAGCATTCGTAGCTGCAGATGATTCTTCTAATGCCTTTTCCTCATCGTAAAGTAGGTCAAACTGTCCCATTTGTTCCTTAGTGACATTTCTATTAGATTTGACGTCTGGAACTGTCCCGTTGGGTACAACGATATTAATAACGTCGTTTACTAACTTGTATTTTAAAATACGGTCACTAGCCGTTGTAGCTGACAGTGACGGAGATGCATTTACTTCCACAAGCCATGGCTTGAAATTGTCGTCAATTATGATATCGTAACCATAACATTCAAAACAGTGTTTGTCGTTTATCATCACATTTGCGACTGCTTTCAGAGAATGTACTATTATCCAATAGATCTCATCAAACAGCTTGTCGGAGACGGATTTTCCTTTCGTTCCCTGCAACCATAAGCGGAAATTCTCTGTTGTCCATTTACCACCATGAATACTGTTATAATGAATTCCATGCTTTTGTATTGAAACGTTCGTCAGATGAACAAACATATTATCTAGCTCACTGACATCCGAATTATATCTAACCGTGCAAAACCTGCAGAACCCAAGCTTATACACGTATGTCTTGAGAGGCCTGAACGAAGTAACAAGGACATAAAGGCGCAGGTCAAACTTTTTGCCTCCAATTAATAGTGGGTTCTCGATATACCTTGATATAACGTAAGAATCTCTACAAGCCGGTGTTGCACCAATTAAACCGGATTTTCCATCTCTAGACCATCGCTTAAGTTGAGAGAGTTTATTAATCAGGAAAATACCGACTCCACGGGCTTTCCCACTAGGCTTCATTATCCATGTAGAAGAGGGGTTGCGTTTAAACTCCTCTGCAAATAGGTTATAATCCTGTGGCAGCATATAGGTGACCGGTATAAAATCCAAGAAGAAATACTTTCCAGTATCATCTTTTACAGCCAACGGGTTTCCCTCCTTCTGCAATTCGCGTCTGTACCTTTTAATATTTCTGACCATTAGATCTTTTCTGGTAAGTTCGAAATGGTTTGGGAAGTGGTTTACAATCTGAATTAGTTAGCGCAATTTATTTATCGTTGAAACCTGGTTATCTGATAATCTATATGATGTTTCATTGCTAAAGAGCATGCGTATGCTTTGAACAGAAGCCCAGAAAATATTCCAATCTTCATCAGGATGCACAACTGTCCAGCCACGCGCTTCAAAATTACTTGTTATGACTGATTTCTCTACGTCTGTTGCATATTTTATCTTACTCATATTACACACAATTCAAAACTGTGTGTTGCTATGTGAGGACAGAAGTTATTTCACTAAGTTAGATAAACAATTTAGTTCTGCTTATACGTTTGTATTGTGCAAACTCAAGTTAATTGAAGGAGTCTCTTGTGCTTAAAATACAATTTGCCAGTTCTATACTATTTATTTTTACTCTTTGTATCAGTGCGTTGTAAGTTTCATTTCTTCAATAATAATGAGAATGGGTTGGCGGACCTATGTGAATCCTAACAGTCTGCCTTCCAGTGTAGGTCTAGCTTCTCCTTTAAAATGTTCACTGATGGGGCTGATACCACCTGTTCTGATAAGGCGTTCCAATCATTGACCGCTTGATGAGAAAGACGGAAACCCACCATAAGTTTATTAGATCGCGGTTTATGAACCTTCTCGCTATGACCTCGGAGATTATTGTGCTGGAAGGAGTATAACGATAAGACATTTTAACAACCAAATCGTAATTAAGGATACGAAGTGCCAATATATGGTCACCTCGCGTCCTACGATACGACAAAGGGAATATGTTTAGGCATTTTAAGCTCTCATCGCAAGGTAGTTTAGAAAGACCCTCCACCAATTTTCTTCCCGTACGCTGAACACGCTCAAGTGAGTTTGTATCCCTAATAAAGCATGGGCCAACGGCTTGGATACAGTACTATAAGTGTGCTCTTACATAGGTGGTAAACAAAATTCGAAACATCTGTTTGTCAAAGCATTTGAGTTCGCGGCTAAGTGACCATAACATTCGAAACACTTTGGCAACTGCTGCGTTTCAATGAGTAGTTGCTTTTAAGTCGAAACTTACCATTATCTCTAAGTTCTTATGTTACTGCACGCGAGGAAGAGATGTACCGTAAATTGTATAGTGGTAACTGTTACCACCTGGAGTCCCTCCGGGTGCTACTGCCGGTCCCAAGCCCGGATAAAGGGGAAGGGTTGGGCATGGGGTTAGCGTCCTCATCCCGTAGAAAACTATCTCGTTAAAAAACGCTAACCAGAAAAAATTATTCAAACCTTTTAAACTCTGCCCCGGGAGTCAGAAGGTCTTCATTTAGAAGAACTATCTCGCCTCATGATGAAAGCCGAAATCCTTCGGAAGTTACGAGGCCGATACCCCTTCTGACAACCAGAGCGACCACTTATTTAGGTACGTGGAATCTTCGTACAATGTGGGACACCGGGAGAGCCCTCCAAATTGCTGCAGAAATGAGGAAATACAACCTAGAGGTGCTTGGGATCGGTGTAACACATTGGACGCAAGTTGGACAACAACGACTAACTTCAGGAGAGCTTCTGTTATACTCCGGCCATGAAGAAGAAAATGCTCCACATACACAAGGAGTTGCACTGATGCTGTCCAAACAAGCACGAAATGCACTTATAGGATGGGAATCTCATGGACCAAGAATCATCAAAGCCTCATTCAAAAAAAAAAGAGGCCAATTCAATGAACATCATCCAATGCTATGCGCCTACCAACGATTACAATGAAGACGCTAAAGATCAATTCTACGATAGGCTGCAGTCAAGCATCGAGAAGTGCTCAACAAAGGACCTGACCATTCTGATGGGAGACTTCAATGCCAAGGTTGGAACGGACAACACTGGATATGAAGACATCATGAGACGACAAGGACTGGGAGAAAGGGACGAAAATGGTGAGAGATTCGCAAACCTATGTGCCTTCAATAAACTGGTCATAGGCGGCACTATATTCTCACACAAACGCATGCACAAAACCATATGGACTTCACCGGATCACACCACGCAAAACCAAATCGACCATATTTGCATCAACAAAACGTTCAGGAGGACTATAGAGGACGTGAGAACCAAGAGAGGAGCTGATATAGCATCAGATCATCACTTGCTGGTCGCCAAGATGAAATTGAAACTCAAGAAGGACTGGACAATGGGGCGG